CCTAGAACAGTGACAACTACATGGTAAGTTCTCAATACTTATCAAATAATATTAAAAACTTCCATTTAAAAATGGAAGCAAGACTAGAATGCCAGCTACATTCAACAGAAATCTGTAGGTAGCATCCCTTTAGACAAGCAACCTGTAACTAGAAAATAAGACTCAGATCACAACTTCTATGGAAAACATAAGCTAACTAGACAATTTTGAAACTCAGAGTAAAGAATGAGGGAGCAGGGGTGTTGTGGTTAATTTTATGAGTCAGCTTGACTGGGCTATGGGATGCCCAGGTAGCTGGTAAAACATTATTTCTGGGGTATGTCTATAAGGATTTTTCTTAAAGAGGTCTGCATGTGAGTCAGTAGATTGAATGAAGAAGATTTGCCCTCACAACTGTGGGCAGTCAATATTGAATCTGTTAAGAGCACAGGAGAACAAAAAGGCAGAGGAAGAGTGAACTGTCTCTCACCTTGAACTGCCCTTCTCTTTTCCTGCCCTTGGATATTTGAGCTTATGGATCTTGGGCTTTTGAACTTTGGGACTCATACCAGTGGACACAACTACTTCTCTGGCCTGTGGTCTTGGACCAGGAGGTACAACATTAGCTCTCCTGTTCTCAGGCCTTTGGGCTCAAAGCAAATTATACCACTAACTTAATTGGGTCTCCATCTTGCAGAGGGCTTATCATAGGACTTCTCAGCTTCCATAATTGAGTGAACCAATTTCAGTATGAAATTTCTCTCTCTCTCTCTTTCTCTATACAGACTTGTATACACACACGAGGGGACTTCAAAAAGTTTATGGACAATGCATATTATGAAACAACCATGCATGAATTTCCAAATGTTTCTGCACTGAAATAAACTTGTACTTTAATTCCATTGTTCTACAAAATTTTTTTTTGAGAGATTTTTTCGCTATAGGGCACGTGCACTCTCCAGACAGACAGAGAGAGACATAGAGACAGAAAGCTAGAAATCACCCCCCACGGGGGATGGTCACGCCCCAATCTCTTCTCCTCCATTCTCCTCTCCAGATCTTGAGCACACACGCACCCACGCCCAGCGTGAGTTTTAAGCCACCGGGTCTGAGACGCGAACCGTGGTTGACTACGTGAGAGTCCAGCGACATAGCTATTACGCTAACTGCTGGTTCCCCAAAATTTTGAAATATACATATATCTTTGAAATATTTGGCAGTATGCTTCTATCTCCTATCATTTTTGTTTCTCTGGAAAACCCTCTCTAATACAGAGGGTATACTCTTCCAGATTATAAAGCATCCCACAAAATCACAGAACTGTGTACAAAAATTAGAACTAGTGGAGAGAGAGAGATAGGTATACATTTCCACTGATCTCTTGTTTTTTTCTTTTTTGTCTATAGTTTTGTATGCTTATGTATGTATGTATATATGTAAACATACATTAATAAGATTTTGTTGTAACTGAAGTGATATTTAAACTGATGAGAAATATGACTTTTTTTCTGATGTGGAAAACTACAGTTGAATCACTACCATATAGAAAAATGATTTTTTTCTGATGTGGAAAACTACAGTTGAATCCCTACCATCTAAAAAATATGTGTATGTAAAAAATATATACAAAATGTAATAAAGTTCTATAAATGAAAGATAAAACTATAAAGCTAAGAAGAAAATATTGAAGAATATCTTTGTAATCTTGGAGTAGAAAATATCTCAAACACGGTTCATGAAGAACAAACCAGTGAAGAAATCTTACAGATTTTGAAACATCAAAATGAAGAATTTCTTTTCTATTGGGAATACTATAGATACATTAACGGAAATATGCTACAGATTTGGAGGAGCTAAATAGCTAAAACCAAAAAAGAAATCTACAACATTTAAGAAACTCTGCAAATGACTATCACAAACTCAAAATCTAAAAGAAAAAAGTACATTGATAAATCTAATAAGCGGAGATAAAAAACAGCCGAGTATATGAAATTATGTTCAGTCTGCATTATAACTATGAGATATCATTTTACATCCATCACATTAGCAAAGATTACAAAGTTGATAATACCAAATGCTGGCAAGGATGTGGAGAAGTGGGAATTACGAGCTGCTGTTGGGAGTATAAACTAATGTATCCCGCCCCTCCAGAGAGAAATCTGGCTGTGCTCTGTGAAATGATGAATGCACAGATCTGCAAGTGGAATTCATTATGGAGTTATTTGTACTAGCAAAGACTACGAGGTCTTAAAAATGTGGATAGGTAGGTCCAACACAATTCAAGTCCTGGACTTTGCAAGTTGAAAAACATGCTGGGTGTGTGTGCATGTGTGCCCAAATTCCAAAATAAGGGAGAAACTGAAGAGAAGGGCTGGTGGTGTGACTATGCCCCACTGAGGAAGTATTTTCTCACTTTGTCTCTCTCCAGGGAGTGCACACGCCCTCTCTTAAAATTAAAAAGAATATATATGATTAAGCAAATTGTGGTATATGCATATAATGGAATATAGAAGTCAGAAGTAATACATTACATTTACGTCCAGCAAAATGAACAGTACCAGAAAACATAGTATTTAGTAAACCCATAAGAAACAGCATGTGATTGTTTGTATAACTAATAACATATTTTAAAGGATTATTTAATTTTTATTTATTCATTTATTTTAATTTGACCAGAGAGAGAGCGAGATGGGGGGTGGGGAGCAGGGAGCGAGATAGTGATAAAGCAAGCCACCAGGTCCCAGACTCAAACCGTGGTCGGGCATGTAGGAGTGTCCAGCACCTTAACCACCATGCCACCTGCTAGTCCCTATGACTAATAATATTAACATATAATAAAACTACATTTTAAATTTATAACCATTAAGTAACATTCTCTTTTTCAAGAAAACTTGTATGTCTAGAGACATATATAGCTAACACATTATATGGGTGAAAATAAAATGGGAGGCTTTCATATAGATGGATGATAATAATGTGTCCTAAAATGCAGTGTATAACTAAATTCTGTGACCTGAGAAATAGGAAAGAGGATGGGATAGGGTTGACTGTGTAGGTCTCAGATATGGTAGCAGTTTCTCCAAAACTTCTGCTTTCAGACTACTGTTGGTTGTCAGAAAAGTCATGACTCTTTTTTGCATAGAAAAAAACCCAGAATAATATGTCATGACTTTTCTGATAACCCAATACATTGGGCTTTAGCTTAAATGGAAATAAGGATTTTCTTTTTCTTTTTCTTTTCCTTTTAATTGCCAGAGGGTGTGTGCACTCAGCAGAGAGAGAGAGAGAGATGAAGAGAGAGGCAGAAGAAGAAAACACTCTCCAATGGGACATAGTCACGCTGCAATCCCTTCTCTTCCATTTCTTCATCCTTTTGGGATTTGAGCACACAGCATACATGCCCAGCATGTTTCTCAAGTCTCTGCAGCTGAGAAATTCAAATCTTGGGTGAATCTAGCCCTTTTAACCACCAGCTCATGGAGCTAGCACTGGAAATGATTTTCTAGAATCCAAGTATTCAGCATATTATTTTATACTGTTAAGAGTAGTTACAGTGTCAGGAAAGAGAGCAGCCGGCTTGCCAGTTTTTCATGGGACTTCTACTCCAGTGAATTGCATTCCACCCAACTGTAATAACTGAAGAAAAGTCTTTACATGAGGGTCTTAGGCTGGAAACATTCTGCAAATAGAGATTCATGTCAGAGGTGCTGTTTCCACTTGGGTGTGAAAAATCAAGTAAGACAAAATTTCTCTTGAAAAAGTTTGCAGTGTAGCCGGGCAAAAAGAAACTAAAAGAGATAATAAAAATAATATGGTTTATGCAATGGTAGATAACAGTTGGAATTAAAAAACTGTGTTTGATATTCAAAATTCAAACTTTGTCTATCAGTCTTTGAATGATATAGAGTGATTCATTGATATTCATATTCATAAACCTAAAGGATACCCATAGGTGAAGAAACAAGAAAAAAAGATTTGCTGTTTTTTTATTATGTAAAACCAAATGTTCCCAAAAATTTCCAAGAAAAATAGCCTTATATATTATCAGAATGTAGACACATATGGTATTCACTAAGATAAATTGAAAAAAGTTTATGTCTCAAATACACTAGCCTAGAAGGCAAACCCACTGCAATTTTAACACTTAAGTTGTGTAACATGCAAATCATTTTCCTAGATGATTTTTGTATTTGAAGGTATACAAGTTTAATTTTAAAAATAGTAGCTCTGGGGGCCAGCTGGTGGCATGCTGGTTGGGGTGCTGAACTCAAACATGGCTGATGGCAGTTCAAGTCCTGGACCTGGTGGATTACTTGCTTGCTTTCTTCTTCTTCTTCTTTTTCTTCTATTTTTTTTTTTTTTAAAGAGAGATCTTTGCTATAGGGTGTGTATGCTCACCAGAGAGACAGAAATCAAGAAGTCACCTCCCAGGGGATGGCCAAGCCAAAAATCCCTTCTCTATTCTCTTCTCAGGATTTTGAGCACTGACACACCACACGTGCCCAGCATGTGTTAAGCTGCCAGGTCCAGAACTTGAATTGCAGTGGACTACCTGGGAATCCAGCAACGTAACCATTATGCCATCTTGTAGTCCCGGATTGCTTTCTTACTTTCCCTTTCTCTCTCTTTTGTGAGAGCATATGCCCTATAGCAAATTAAAAAATAATAAAATAAAATAAAACAGCAGCTCTGTATTACTCTGAATATTAAAGTGGCAAAACTAATCTATTAGAATGGATATTGAGAAAAACATTTTACAATTTTTTTTGGTATGTCAGTAAAATTATTGGGTCACTGGAAAAGTCATGAGGTATTTTTTCTGGTTTTCTGTGCAAAAAAGCATCATGACTTTTCCAATGACCCAATATTTTCACAGTTAAGGACATTTTAGATATAGAACCCAGTTGTTTTTATTTATTTATTTTTATTTTTATTTTTATTTTTAAGAACTGTTTTGTCTTTAAGATTTGTTGATAATATCAGTGCTGACTTGTAATTCTTTCCTCTTCTTTTTGCTTCAGTTTATGCCAGTGTCTGAAAGATAACCAGGCCCTTCATCTGCAAGCTGTGGTTCATTTATATTTGTAGGTACTTACCTCTTACTTGAAAATAGAAAAAAAAAAAGTTATGTCACTACCTTTGTAAAACAGTGAAAATTAGTGTGAAGGGCACCAAGATGTTCCAAACTTGGAGATTTAACCAAAAAGAAAAGCTAAGTTCTTGTGTTTAAGATTGTGGGTTGATAGAATTAGTACTGCAAAGATAAAGCATTTCATTATTAAAGATTCTACCTTTAAGTTCTGTTTTATTTATCTTTAAAAGTGTTAATATTTATTTCTTCCCTAAGAGGGAAAAACAGAGAGAAAGATGGGCCATCCCCAATAGGGTCTTCTTGCTATGATCCATTCTCAGCCTTAGCCAGCCAGGATCACTGGCATGTTTGTGTTCACCTAGTATATACACAGACACACAAACTGACACCTTCCCATGTGGCTTAAGCATCACAAAACATTGCATTAGCATTACCACACCATGCTGGCCACCCTCTATTTAACTCTGATTTTGAATATTATCTTCTGCCTATACTCTTCAGGCTGTGTGCTCACTAAAATACCATTTACCCAACTCTTGACATTTTAGAGTGGATTTATCACCTAAGACATGTTCACCCCCATCAGTGAGACTATGGGCCATAAATTTGTGAAGGGAGCCCCAGCATTCTTAAAGAGTCTATGACCACTCTTACCTCTAGGTCAGAATTTGCAGCAGAAACTGCTGCTGCTGAACTGGAAACAAACACGCAAAGGCGGTCACTGGATCCTGAGCAGGCATGGGCTGGGCTATAAGGCAGCACTTAATCACCAGATGAAAGAAAAGCAGGGTTACCATAATGGATAGTAGAATCAAAGTAGTAATCAGAAGAGTCTGACTTACAAAGATCAGTGGTGTTGGCTAGTTGATCAGGTGTCCCTAGCAGTGAAATTATAGCAGTCTACCCAATTCTTACTTGATCTGAGTAAGTAGGAAGTTTCTAGGTCAAGTGAATGTAACTCAAACTGGAATAATTGGAACAGTGTGTTATGGCCTCTCAATCAGTTCCTAGACTTGAGCTAGTTGATAGACCCAGAATCCTTTGAGTGAAGGGAAGGTCAGGTCTGCTTGAGGAGGAACCCTGTTATACTACCAAAACCTAATGCTCTTAGCCTTTCTTCCTGTCTTTTCTGAAGGAATGTATGGCCTTTTACCAGGGCTATTATGCATTGAGAAAAAGGAAATAACCGTACTTTTGGAGAACCACTGGACACTGACTGTGAACTGACACTAATTTCAGAAGACCCAAACTTCCTATAGTCAAGCAGTCAGTAGAAACTTATATGGATGAGGTGATCAACAGAATTTTAGTTTGATTTTTGTCTCACAGTGAGTTTAGTGGGTTCCAAACTCATCCCGTGGTTATTTCCCCAGTTCTAGAATGCATAATTGCAGTAGCCATGCTCAGCAGCTGATGGAACTTAGCTCTGGCCTTTAAAAACACAGTGTCATTCATTTATGTTAAGAACAATGAGAAAGATCCCTTAAATGAAAAACTGGGAGGCACATGATATCAAAACACTGGCTGATCCATTAAGTTTCACTCAACAACCAATTAGCATAGTATTTATTTACAGTATACATTCTCATAGAAAACATTTCTTGTAGTTAACAAGGGCTTGTAAGACATGGCAAATTGGCAAAATTTAAAAAATGAGTGAGGTAAAATGAGGCTAGGAACAAGCTCATTGATAACATGATGCACCAAAGAGGGAGGGCAGATGAACACAAATTTATTCCTAAGCTTTTTTCTACAAAAAAACATTCATAGTTTCCGTGAATCATGGAAATTCCTTACATAACAATCAGTAAATTTTTACTAGTAAAAAATTATAACAAAATATGCTAAATTCATTTCTTGATGGTTTAATTTGATTAAATCTTTTACTTTTTTCCCCCCTCAAATTGCCAGAGGCCATGTGCACTTGCCAGCGAGGGAGACAGAGAAGGAAAGGAAGAAAGCACTACCCAATGGGACATGGTCACATCATAATTCCTTTTCTCTTTGCCATCCTTTCAGGATTTGTGGTACACATGCCTCGCTTGTTTTTTATGTTGTTGAGTCTGGGATTCGAATCATAGTCAGCCATTGGGATCTGGCTCCCTTAACCAGTAGGCTGTAGGGCCAGCCCAAATCTTTCACTTTTTAACCAACTTTACAGGTACTCTGGTACAGTGGGGAAAAGCCTGTTTTTTTCAAACCTACTTGATTTGAAATTCTACCTCATTTCATTTATTAGTTGTGTGATCTTGGGCTAGTTACTTAGTCTTTCTGGGTCTTATATTTCTCATTTATAATATAGATATGGTATTACCTTACTCATAGGGCAGTTATGACAATAAAATGTATATAATCTCCTTGCAGTATATCCAAACTTCTCTTCCTTTTCTTCCTTTTTGGAAAATGTGGCATTTAGTCATAATGCAAACAAATTAACCCTTTGTTAGAACCTGTAAGTGGGGCACAGATTGCAGAATTGCTAGTATAGGTATATACACACACACACACACACACACGGGGGGTGGGGCGAGCGAGCGAGCTAGTACAGGTTTTAGATAGATAGATAGATAGATAGATAGATAGATAGATAGATAGAATGGTGAAAAAGTGTGTATTTAAAATTAGCCAGCTGGACTCACTTTAGATGATCCCAATTTTGTTGGCAACATCCAAAGCATCATAGGAAGGAGCCAGTTTCACATATGCCTTCTTCTCTCTGTCAGGCCTGATTAGAGTGTTGACCTTGGCCACATCAATATCATAGAGCTTTTTCACAGCCTGTTCGACCTGGTGCTTGTTGGCCTTGACATCCACAATGAACACAAGTGTGTTGTTGTCTTCTATCTTCTTCATGGCAGACTCAGTGGTCAGGGGGATCTTGATGATGGCACAGGGTCAAGCTTGTTTCTCCTGGGGGTGCTCTTCTGAGGATATTTAGGCTGCCTCTGCAGCCAGAATCTTGGGCCTCTGGAAGGTGGGCATACAGATTTTTTTTTTTTTTTTTTTTTTTGGCTGTGGATGCCTTTCAGCACTACCTTCTTGGCCTTCAAAGCCTTTGCTTTAGCTTCAGCTTTGGGAGGGGCAGGAACTTCCTTCTTTGCTTTTGGTGCCATCTTGATGAAAAGAGTACAGCTAATATTAACACTAGCTGATGATACATGTAGAATACATGCTAGGGATAAAATTACTTGTTTAAAAAAATACTCATATTCAAAGATGTGCTCATGCACACACACACACACACACACACACACACACACACATACACAAAGTCAGCCCATAATATCTTATGCGAAGGTCTTTCTCACACATTTGATTCTTTAACATTCTGGCTAACATTTCTATTTTCTGAAGTATGAGCCTTTAGATGCATATGTCTTAGATATTGTAGTCTCAAGAAACCAACTCTGTGCAGCATTGCAATTAAGTGGAGAAATTCTCTTTCTGTAGCGTATTGGTGACCAGTGAGCCAGGGCTTCAGAGAGTTCTAGAAATAACATGAAGTAATTTTTACATAGTGTTAAAAATTAATAGATCATGTAAGAAGTGCTGTGTACTTACAAGATCTGAGTTAAATCCGCTGCGTCTTATCATACTTAATCCTTCACTTTCTTTTGTTAAGACAGTATCTCACTGTGTCACAATTCTCCCCTCAGCCTCCTTAATGCTGGAGTATTATAGGCATGTGCCATAGTGCCTGGTCTTTAGGTTGACCTGGGGTTCAAACCCAGGCCTCCCATGTGGTCCCAGCCTGTGAAGCACAGCATCTGAGCATGTGCGCCATTGCAGCTGGGCCCCTTCATATTATTCAAGTGACATTAGGTTCAAGTCAGCATCCTAGAGATATCTAGGGGACAAGAAGGCCCAAGGGTACTCATACAGTCTGTATGTAGGTGGATGCCCTTGATATGGTTGTGGTATTGAGTTGTCACCTCATTGTGAGTAAAATCTTGAGTAAAATCTTTTAGTCCAAGGTAGTATAACCATATCTTTCTGTTTTTCTAACCACTTTCTGAGTACATGCTACCTGCCTTACCCTTGGAGTAGTTGACCTAATTTATAAGACCCTAAAAATGGCTTTCATAATTGTTATAGGATGTGCCCACTATGGTCAAGTTGAATACCTGTAATACCTGTAAACATGATGGAATATCTTAAATGAAGCCTGTTCTGCTTATTCTGTGATTTGGGTGTTTTGTTTTTCCCTTATTTTTCTTTATATCTCAAAACATTGTGACATTGACGTATTACCTCAGAAAGGTAAAAAAAGGAATATCAGATACTGTATTAAAAGTATCAGTTTGAAAATGTCACCATACTCCCATATTTTGTAAAAAAAAAAAAAATAGCAAAAGAGTAAACTACTGAAGAAGTGATTCAAAAATGTCTTTTAATAAAAGTTTAAAGTCTTCAAAATATATTTGCCCCTGGAGCAAACTTTTTTCATTTAATATTGTGTCTGTTAATTAGTGCTTCAAATTTGCAAATTCTTTATTGGTTTATATCAATGTAATACCCAAAGCTCATCTCATTGCCAGATTTGAATGAAATATGATCCTGTTTATTCTATTAAAATGAAGGCTTGAAATTGTTACCCAAATGCCACAGGAATTCTTGCCATTTTCTCATCAAATTCCTCATCAGATTTTTTGTTAAAGTCACATTGTTTTAGATTTTGTGCCTTGGCATTTAAATGAAATTCAATGTGCCCCACTGGAGGAAACATCTGTAGGGACATATTATGTACAATATCCATTCCAATCAAGCAGGAGTGTACTGAGTGCCTGAATGAGGAGCTTATTCTTGCTTCACTTTCCTCTGATGTGGCTATTGAGAAGATCTATAAGAGAGAGAACATTTATAAAAATTAAACCAGCAGTGGAGCACAGTATTTTAAATGCTGAAATCAAATACTTTTTAAAGGCACAATATCAGCTTCAGTGAACGGAGTCCTGCTTGTTTCTTTTTATATAACAGCCTATGTGTGTGTATATATATATATATATATATATACACACACATACATACATACATACACACACATACACACATATATACACATGTGTGTGTGTGTGTATACATATATAATCCGATCCAGACTTTGGACAGAACGTGGTTGGATTATGATGCTGTTCAAGGTCCATGTTCCCCACTAAGCTCCTATTTACTTGATTTTGACAAACTACTGTGTCTCTCAACAGAGTCAGCCTTAGTTCAATACACCCTGTATAACATTTCAGATTTGCAGTCTGCCTCAAAACACTTGTAACTAGTGCTGTGTCAAATGATCCAGTGATGGGAATAGTTCCTGTCCAATCTACAGACTTGCATCCATAGAAATTTTCTAAAATGTTCCTTTAATTTTCAATTAAAAAAGAGAAATGACCAGCATGTTATGGCTAAGACTCATATAAAATAAGGATGATTACCAATTCAAGCCAACAGAACTTTAAGATACGTTAGGGTTAAATAGGTTAGATGTATAAAACTTAAGGCATGGCACACGCTACATGCCCAGTGAGTATTAACTAATATTATTAGTAGGGATGACTTTGCAAAGGAGGTGGGATTTGAGGTGGATGACTTTTCATCACCCTCAGAGCAGGGCATTTGCATAGCAGAAATGGCTTGCACAGTGGCGTGAATGTAGGGACGTAGAAAGTGTACTGATGAAGGGTGACTAGACCAGTTTAGCTGTTGCTAAAGGCTCCTGTTTATTGTCAACATGAAATACACAGGGAGCCTATGAATGTATAAACCACTGAGCAACATGCTAGAATACAAAGAGAATCATGTAGGTTCAACCTAGACAATGCTGTGTTAGGTGAGTTGCAAATAAAAAGAGATATTTCATTTCCACATACTTCAGTGTATAATTAAGTAACTGAAAACACTGTATAGTAAACAACATGAACCATTCAGCGTTCTGCTGTCAAAATGCACTTAGATTCCTGTAGGAAGACAGAGCTGCTTCTAAAAGAAATAACTCAATCGCTCTGTACATACCAAAGTGAACCATTCTCTTGCATTTTCACTGCTTTGGTCCCTATTTACCTTTGCTGTAGTTATGTATTATGGTATAAACAGGGAATTATGTCTTTACTGAGGCAGATTGTGAGGCACATTATAAAATGTAAATTATAATTCAAATTTCTTTCCTGCCTTTTAAGATTTCTTTCCAATACAAGGACTGGCTTTGTAGGGCTGAGTTTCTTTTACTCAAGTAGAAAACAAAAGCAAAACGAGAGGGAAAAAAAACAGCAAATAAACACAAAATCTATTGTATGGTACAATCCAAAAAGCTGGATTGTATTAAATTATACAAATTTCTTTTCTTTTTTTTTTTGAGATGTTTTTGCTATAGGGTGCATGCACTCTCCAGAAAGACAGAGAGAGAGAGACAGAAAGCAAGAAATCACCCTCCAGGGAAGATGGCCACACTGCAATTCCTTCTCCTCCATTCTCCTCTTGGGATTTTGGGCACACATGGACACACGCCTGGTGTGAGTTTAAGTCACCAGGTCTGGCACTTGAACCACGGTCCACTACATGGGAGTCCAGTCATTACGCCATCTGCTGTCCCCCAATTTTCTCTCTTTAGGACCTTCTGTAATCCCTGATATCTTCATAAACATTTTAGATGTGTAAGAATCAAATGCAGCATATGTGGTTTCTCACACTTACTTGACTTGGCATACTTTTCTATGTAACTAGAACTTCTATTTTTTTGAATACATTTTGGAACATGATGCTCAGTCTGTGACCTTAGATTTAAAGAGTTGTTTTTCCAACAATGAAAGACGCTATTAAAGATTAGAGATGAACATAAATTCTAGAAATACTTTAAATAAGTAAAAGTATGATACTTTACTTCTACATAGCTTGATTCATTGAAGAAAATTAACTTTTCCACTAGACTTGTGAACTAAATTTAGGGTACTATCTTATTCATCTTCTGAATCTCAATACCATACACCATCTCTTTTTCCACTGGGAGTGCTGAGTTTATAGGATATGGGTGGCCAGCAGCCATTTTCTCTGCCACACAGAGAACGATTGTCTAAGAAGAAGAGAAGGCGGGGGAGGTAGAGGATAAGAACTCTGTGATACTGCTTGAGTTCCTAGTTTAGCCATAGTGTATCTGAAGCCAATATACTTCATAATTTAACTCGTGGGAACTTATTAAATTTCCTTTTGCATGTAAGCTCCTTTGTTGTGTTTTGTTTGTTTTTTGCTATGATCCAAAGTGTCCTTACATATTAGAATTATGGTCAACAAAGTCTGAATTGTGGAATTGGGTAAATAGAGGCAAAATATGTAATGTGAAGAATCTCCCATCCATGGCAAATGTGATGGTGGTAGCCTACCTAATTCCATTCTATCCTTCTTTATTGCTATCATAATCCAAATTATTTTTCCAAGTTACGAAGTGCCCAGATAAAAAGATCTATTTCCTAGATTCCTTTGTCAGTAGGTGATTATAACCTGATGTAGTTTTGGACAATGAGATAGAAACAGAATTCTTGCGATAGAATGTTCAGAGAGTTCCTTAGATGATAGCCAGCCTCAACAGGCCTGTATCTTTCACCTGGCCCTTCTTCATTCTTCCTGTTTGTGCCAACTTCATACTGTCTAAGACTATGGGTACTGGGTCCATAGCCCAAGATAGACTGAAGGAGAGTTAAAGGAAGGCTATTTACCAATGACATCATGCTACTGCTACACCAGCCCTAGATGGTCAACTTCCTGACATCTTATTACATAAAAAAAAAAAAAAAAAAAAAAAAAAAAAGACAAGCTCTATTTGGCTAAGCCACTAAAAGTTCAATTTTCTGTTATGTTTGGCTGAGCCTGTTTTCAAAATGATACAACAAAACAGTGCTAATAATGATTTAAACCACATCAATCAATAAGGTGGACCAATGATAAACATATAGCTAAAACATTTGGGTTGACTTTAATCCATTTATATGAAAGCACATTAAGGCTGGTCTTCCCCCCCCCCCACACACACACACTCCTTTTCTTTT